TCTTGGTCTGTTCTTCATCTGTTATAAAACGTACGGTAATCCAATTACTAATGAGATAAATACACACTGTCGTACAAGTTTAAATGCAATCGCTGTGCTTAGATGAGTAAATGATATAGTTACACAGTAACAAAATCACTGCACTTAAAATGTAGTATTGCGAAGGTTGTTTGCACTACACACTGCGGGCGGCGAGAGTTTCTTCGTTGCGAGAAAGTCCAGAAAATGAAAAATAAATTAGTAGAATTTGAACCCGCTGTCCGATTTTTTCCAATTTTCGATTTTTGGATTTCTTCTGTTGTGCTGTGAAGAAATATCCTGGTTTCGATGTCGTAGATAAAAAATTGCGGAAGTTATGCACGTTAAAGACAATTGTCCAGTTGCTACTGTTCTGTTGTTTATTGTGAAGCTCCCGTACGTTCAAGGCGCAATTAGCACAGCTTGGGGGGGGGAGGATTACTTCATGTTGACTGCTCGCACCACTTGCAAAAACAACTATTTTTGCGACAGTTAATTTCCTAATTAATGTACGCTTATGAAAATAGTCTCAAACTACTCCTTGTAAGATTCCGGTTCCAATGATGTAACTTACATTGGCTCCGATGCGCGACGGCTCTTCTGTTGTGTCTTAAAGCACTGTACACAAAGAATACGTACATTCACTGCTATAACTTTGTTAATTAATTAGCAGAAAATTTACTAATTAACGTATCGGTATGATGTCTCAAAATGCGCAGCTCATATTTTTCTAAATGATGATACCAGAATTAGCTTGCTGTATGAATTATTTCCGCTGTTCTTGAAGCAAGAAACAGAAGATGTAGTTAACGACTTTAAAGAAAAAAGTAGCCCTGTTAATGTTTAAGCAAATAACTCGCCGAAAGGAAGGCGAACTTATCAAATTGCCATTTTTCCTTCTTGAAATTGACCGAACACCTGAAGGCAAAGCTGTCGCCTCGTATAAAGGATGTGAAGAACATCCAGATAACATCAAAAAGAAATTTCCTAAAAAAGAAAAAAGAACTCAACTCAAATATTGAGCCCTTAAATAATAGTAATGGAATTGCTTATACTGAAGAAGATATGGCGGATGTCATGGCAGATCACCTTGCAAAACTTTTCACCCCAATTCAAACTGCAACGCCTGATATCATTGAAGAAGTTCCAAATTTCACCACGCAGCTTAAATAAACTACTGTTAGCATTCATCTAAAACCAACATCTCCTTCTGAAGTTGCTGAAATCATCAACAATCTCAATATTCGCAAAGCGCATGGCTTGGATGGAATCTCAAATAAATGCGTCAAGGAACTTCCTCGTCATAACATTTTATGCTTATTACCAATATCATTAATGCCTGCCTTCGGCTCAACTACTACCCCCAGCAATGGAATCATTCTATCATTACAACTTTTTTTAAACCTGCCAAAAATCCAAAAGAACTTAACTCATATAGACCAATAAGTTTACTTCCAAGTATTGGAAACATTTTTGAAAGAGTAATCCAAAAAAGGCTTCTTCAATTTTTAGAAAACAACAATATCATCACTCAAGAGCAATATGGTTTCCGCCCTGGACACAGTTACTGTTCAGCAATTGCTAAATTTTACTGAATACATTGCTGATTCCTTTACCAAAAAGAATACTGTTGCCACATGTTTTATTGATTTTGAAAAGGCTTTCAACAAGGTGTGGCACGAAGGTTTACTCTTCAAGCTGCATCTTGTTCGATTGTCCATTACTTTCATAAAACTGATTCAAAGCTATCTCCACAACCGCATCTTTTTAGGTGAAGATTGGTTCAGCCCTCTCAAGACGAAAAATTTGTAAAAGTGGTGTTTCACAGGCAGTGTTCTCGCCCCTTCACTTCATATTTTATAGATTAATGATATGCCGGTACCATTAAATTCTACCATTTTCAAATACGCAGATGACACAGTAATTGCTACCAAGTCATTACGATCACAATTAGCTTTTGATAAACTAGGAATTGCCCCAGGCCAAATTTCTCTCTGGTGTAAACTTTGGAATCTCAAAATTAATCCCACCAAAAGTCATATTATGATCTTTCGAAGATACAAGAAGAATATCCAAGTCAACATCAACATTAAAATTAATAATGAGCCTCTAGCTATTGCAAATACTGTTAAATACCTTGGAATCACTTTTGATAAGAAACTACTTTTTAAAGATCAAGCACAACAAGCAATCATGAAAGCCACAGCCGCAAAAATTTCCCTTCGCTCTTTAATTGGCAGGAATTCCAAACTTAACACCAGTACTAAACGGCAACTGTATCTAACTTTAATACTTCCAGTTCTACCGTATGCAATTCCAGTGTGGGCGACTGTTCGAAAAAATGACAGAAGAATTGAAATCTTTCAAAATAAAATTATTGGAAAAATCCTAAATGCTCCATGGTACATGAGAAATTGGATAAAGAAATTAGAATTACAAATATTCATAATCATAATCTCCAAACTGCACATAACTTCTTTACTAAGCTTTAAAATTCTAAATATCAACATATTCAAAACTTGGTCAATTATGATCCAACCCTGGAAAACTCAATTAAACGTCTTCGTAGTATTTTTCATAATTCAAAATGGTAATCGTCATATTTTACAATGGACTTTACGTACTTTTTGCAAAGATTTTGACTTTGTGTACTTAATTGCAAAGATATGTAATTCATGTGTAAATATTGTACATAGAAAACTTTACTTTTCAGAGACTTTGCTTTTCAAAGATGAACTCTTGATTTTACAAAGATCTTCTAGTATTTAGATTTCCTTTTTCATCTTAACTTTTCAAGTATTTATCCAAGTAAACTTTGCATCTCCATGATTACTGAAGTCTCCCGTATGCAAATGTAGGAAAATAATACTTCTCTAACCCCAACAGAATCAATATTTTATTCCTTACAACGTTATATATACTTATTCATAATATTTATTTACATTTTACATGCATGATTTTACATTTTACATTACATGACTTTTGTTCGGAGACAAGAAAAAGGTGTTGCCATTCCGCTTTAACTAAACTTAATTAGGAACTTGACGGAACTGAATCGACGCTACACAACCCCTTCCTAGTGACAGCGATTATGGAAGATAGTCTTTAAAGTGATTGGGGAACTTCACATGTCTACCGGTTCTAGCAGTCTTGGTTTTATGCTGAGTTTCTGAATTTTCTTTAGTGTTCTTGAGTGCAGGTGTTTCCCCAAGTTCTGCTTTCTTGGAATGGTAGTTTTGGAAAGAAATATCAGAATCTTTCACTAGAAGACAGGGCTTTAGTCTGTTTATTCAAGCTCTTTTAACATTTCCGTGGATTTCAATATCGAAATACTTATTCTTTCTTGCTCTTGCAGAATACGGCCCAAGGTAGACAGGCTGTAGTGAAGAGTTACACTGTTATTGGTGCTACTTTGGTACACGATTGCACGGATTTTTGGCGATTTACATTGGCGCAGTTTTTACAATCGTCAGCTATCTTGGAAAACGCTTGTTTTTACGCATTTGACGCATGGTAAAGTATTCGAAACTTTTAAAAAATAAATATCGTTAAAAATAATGGATTAATTTTTTGTTGAAAACGTTGTTTTTGTAAGATGGCTGGCAAATGTAAATACATACATTTACTAAGAGTATAAAATACTAAAGTAAGGCTAAATTATTACTTTCATACAGCAAAGAAATAGCATAAAACACCGCTAAAACACATTGCGCCAATGTTTAATTGGATTAAAATATTACTTAAATTGAATATCGAATTAAAAACATCATACCAACGTTTAAAAGAATTAAAATATTACTTAAATTCAAATACTTTAAAATAAGTTCTATAGGATATAATTATTAACATATGTGGCAATAAATATCCCAGCAATTTTTGAAAACAATGTTGTTGTATCTCTCAATAGAATTCTAAAAAGTAAAAAGAAGATTTCTTACCTTTTCTTTCACCCGGGAGCCGAGCTTGTTACATTCTAAAGTCTTATTCAATGAAATATATAAATTCCAAGCTTCTGCACAAAGATTGACACTTCTGTATGATATAAAGAGATTACATTTAGATATATTCATACATTTTATATACAATTATTGGTTACATAAAAATTACGTGCTCTCCAGCTAACAGTCATTCGAGTTCGGGTTCAGAGTTCTAACTACGTTCTTCCATAGGATTATTCTCGAGTTTAGATGTAATGGTTCTGATAGTTCGGAGTTTAGATGTAGCGGCGCTGATAGTGCGGAGTTTAGATGTAACATCACCTCCCACCACTGAGATCCGACTATGCGGAGGAATTCAATACACACAGGTCCAGTCGAGGAGGAGGCCGAACAACTCGTCCAGCTCTGGTCATCACTCAAGGACTTGAAGCAGATTCTGGAATACTAGCAGCCTGATCAGCCTGACTAGTTGCCTGGTCGTTTCTATCTCGAGGTGCTCTGTCGGGGAATGGAGGGCCAACGGATTCGGATGTAGAGATCTCCAATGGGAAAAGCCCGGGCACTGGACGAAGCAGAATTCCATTGCTTGTCTTGACCCTCGCTAGTCTAACTATCCCGTCTTTGCTGGGAAAAAGCTCGACTATCTTGGCTAAAGGCCAATGAAGGCCAATGATCGTCTCTGGCTGTCCTCCAACAGAACGACATCGCCTACTTGCAATTGTTGAAATTTTCCCTTCTTTATTGCCTGTTGTCTCAACTGACCAAGATATTCATTACGAAATATGTTTCGTAGATCATGTTTTATTCTCTGTCGGTATTTGGCTTGACGGTTTAGTTCTTTGGTATCTACGTAGTCCATATCAGGAACTCCTGATGACGGCAATTCTTAAAGGAACATCATAGGGATCAGTGGTGATGGATCTTGATTATCCGACACGTATGTTATAGGTCGCGAATTAATCACTTGTTCACAGTCACATAATATAGTATATAATTCTTCATAATTTAAGGACGTTCGACCTAAGACTCTTCTTAAATTTTCTTTCACCATTCGCACAAGCCTCTCCCACCAACCTCCCCAACCAGGCGGCGGTCGGAGGGTTGAACTTCCATCGTATCCTTTGGATAGAAGCAGCTGAACATATGGCGTTCCCAATTAACTTTCTTAAGAACACTGTTAGTCCCTACAAAATTAGTTCCGTTGTCGGAATATATCACATAAGGTCTACCTCTTCTGGCAATGAATCTACGTAAAGATTGGATGAAAGTTTCTGTAGATAGAGAAGTAATTAGTTCGAGGTGAATAGCTCTATAAATGGCACACGTATACAAGACTATCCACGCTTTAGACCCCTCACGGAGATAGAAAGGACCCGCTAGATCTTCTCCGACGACTTCAAAAGTCGCCCTCGCCCCTTCTTTGGCTCGGTCTTCGGGTGGAAATCCTGGCTCGACTTCCACTCTTTGTGTAACAAATCTTTTACATTTTACACATTTTCTGATAATATTTCGAATACTTTTCCTGGATTTTAATATCCAAAAGTTTTCTCTATGATTTGTCATTAAAGTGCTGACACGAGCATGCTGGAGTTCTTCTAGATGTTTCTCGTAAATTAGTCTCTCAACAAGAATATGTTTTGAAGGTAAAATGATAGGATATCGGAAATTTTCATTATCTTGACGCTGTAGGACGTTCGTTTTGGCTCTTAAAATTCCATTTTGGTCTACGATTGGTCTCAGCGCACGAAAAGCGGGATCGTTTATGCCTGTAAATGATTCTTTCTGTACCAATCTACAAAGTGCCTTTTCAGCATTCTCCAATTCATCAACTGAGACATCAGGAGTGAGGTTTTTATCTTTGTTCTTTAAATTGTGATAAAACCTGAAAATCCAAGCGATCATTCTCACGGTTTTTTCTATATGAAGAGAAGTATTTGTAGTACCGGTCCAAATTGTATTCATGATCTAGAAGAGTCAGAATCGTTTTCCTTTTTTCTTTGTTTATAAGTTCTTCATCAGGCTTCTCAGCTACATGGGGCCACTCGTCTCCTGGTAGGTGAAAGCCACGATGGACCCTCCCACCTTGCCGATTTCTGTAACTGCTCAATAGTACATCCTCTCGATGGGAGATCCGCTGAATTTAAGCTTCCAGGTACATGCCTCCAGTCAGATATTCTGGTAAGAGATCTTAATTCTTGTACTCGATTGTGAACAAACGTACCCTAATGCATGATCTCTTCTTATCCACCCCAAAGCTGTAGACTAATCACTCCAGAATACTGTTCTACAATTCTTAAATTTCAAATCTGATAGAATTGTTTTGGCAAGCCTGGCACCTATCAGACAGGAGAGAAGTTCAAGACGTGGAATCGTAAGTTCCTTAATTGGGGCTATTCGACTTCTCGCGCTTACTAACTGAACCTTTACACCTTCGATGGTTTCAGCTCTTAAAAATGCACATGTGGCATAGGCTCTTTTACTAGCATCCGAAAAAACGTGGAGCACTACGGTATCTTCGTTTTCGTAATCAATATTTAACCAACGAGGAATTTCAATCTGAGATAGCAGAGGCAATTGGTTCAACCAAGTCCCAAACTGCTCACTTAGGGGAAGAGGAAGATCTTCATCCCACTTAATCTTCTGGTTCCAGGTTTCTTGCAAAATTAGCTTTAGGAATTACAGTTATCGGTGCAGTAAAGCCAATGGGATCAAAAATTTTCTGGGTAATTGACAAAACTTTTCTTTTGGTAATAGGTTCCCTCAAGTTAAATGTTTCTTCGATCTTGCAACTCAAACTATCTTTTTCTAAATCCCATACTAAGCCTAATACTGGGACAACTTTCGTCTTATTCTCTATCTCATCGATCATGTCAATGCGAAAATTTGATCGCCAACATCTCAAATTGAAATGCCCTGAAGCCAAAATCAATCTTGCTTCTTGAACGAAATTTTCGGCTTCATCTACGTGATTTAAGCTAATTAACGAATTATCGAGGTAAAATGAATCCTTCAAAATATTAGAAGTTTCTACAAACTTTTCTGGGACTGTAGTCAAAAGGTGACTAAGTGTAGCGGCTAGCAGAAACGGACTTGATGTGAGTCCAAAAACAACTCGGTTATGTCTGTAAATTTTAAACTTATGTTGATTATCGAACCATAGAAACCTTAAAAAATCTCTATCCTTTTCTGCTATTTTGGATTTGACAAAAGGCCTTTTCGATGTCAGATGACACTCCTATGCGATATTTTCGAAAACGATTCAATATACGTGGAATAATTTCTATTAAATTTGGTCCTTTACTCAAACAATCATTGAGAGAGGGTGAATTCTTAGAACGTGCAGATGCATTGAAAACAGGCCGTATCTTTGTAGTTTCACTAGACTTCTTTTATTACAGGTCTGTGTGACAAGTAGTGCACTCCTTCCTCTTTTTTCCTCAGTTACTACCTCAATAATGTCCTTCGCTTCCCACTCATCAAATATTTCTTCGTAATCTTTTCTTCTGGGTGTGTTAATTAATTTACTTTCGGTTTTGACGAGGTGTCTTTCTGCCATAGTACGGTTACTAGATAAGACGGATTTATCTAAAATAAAGGGTAAGGTTACTTCATATCTCCCTGAGCTATCTCGTCTTACACTTTTTAAGAAATGTTTTCGGGTTTCTTCTTCCAAGACACTTTTCGTTTTGTTTTCCTCACTTGAAATCCCCAAGGTGTCTAAACGCCAAAGATTGGACAAATTTGTATCGGAAACATGTAAGGATAAAGAAAGAACGGACAGGGAACTCGACGTATTCGCATTCTCTTTAATCTTGCCCATTAAAGTCCAGCCTAACTTGGTCTCAAAAGCTACGTAATCCCCCGCAAAATGTTCAATTCTTTCAGTGAACAATTGTGCTGCGGTGTCCGCTCCTAACAGCATATGAATCTCTTCCGGATTTTCTTGAAACAGAGATTTCCATTCTCATGAATGTCGTTGATAAGGATTCCCCTTTTTTCCATTACTTCAATCAAGTTTTCGTCTTTGATCTTAGGTAGTGACGAACAAATTTTCCTCCGCCGACGATTATAAAAAGACTCTGGTCTAGTACTTCGATTTTACAGCTGTACTTTCCATCTAAACTAGCTAAATCTATTTGATAACGATTATGATCTTCCGAAACTTCTACACCCCCAAATAACCCATGTTTAATTCTTTCAGTTCCTATCTTTTCTAATTTCAACGTTTTAGCAGCATATTGACTTATGTACGTGTTCTGACTTCCGGTGTCTATTAGCAATCTTAAATAACCCTTTAAGGTTTTCCCAGCTACCCCTACGACCAAAGTTTGTAAATAAACTTCAGAACGGTTACGCTTTGATTCGAAAGTACTTTATTTTCAACTTCCTGGACAGTTTTGATCGTTCCCTTTTTACTCTCGGAATTAATTCTGTTGCACATAATCGTAGAATGCTTAGAGTGACAATGGGAGCAAAAAATGTTAGAATCACAAAATTTGCTGATGTGACCCTTATTTTTTAAACACCTAAAACAAATGCCATTTTTGCGTAGTATTACAACCTTTTCGTCATTCGTTAGTTTCTGGGCAATAGGACATTTATGGCTTGAATGGGAAAAATCTCCGCAAAAAATGCATGCCTTAATCAGTTTTTTCTTTAATACCCGTGGACACTAAATCAGAAGCAGAAGAAGCTTTCGTTTCTAATTTATTGCTCTTTCCATCGCTGAAATGACGAGTGTTTATTTTCTGGACTGCATACGCAGACTGACGGCGCCCACTATTCGCTGTAGAGTGCTTTGAATTCTTATTTATGACTTCCGCCCTTTCGCGTAAATCTAAACATTGAGCTATAATCAAGCACAAGGCTTTTAATATTACAATACGCACTTCCATTACTCATTCTGTTAATCTCAAGCAAAATATCTTGGGGAAGTGATTTCAGAATTATTGGACATAACACACTTGATAAATTCTCGAGAGACTGACCCAAATTTTCTAAACATCTTAATTCGATAGAAATATTATCATAAAATTTTCTAAAGGCGCGAACATCATTCGAGATTTTCAACGGTGTTAGTGTTCAAAATGTTATTTATGTGAGTGTAAATGAGCACATCTGTTTTCGCAAATCTTTCTTTTAGAAGATCAATTGCGGAATCGTAATTAGCAGCAGTAATCGGTAATCCTTCGACTGTATTTAAAGCAGAACCACCTAAATGAGCTTTCAAATAATTAAATTTGTCTATTTTATCTAATGAATCATTTTTATGAATGGCAGACTCGAAACTGTTCCAAAAAGGTTAGCCAGTTGTTTATATCTCCGTAGAATTTAGTTAAAGTTAACTTAGGTAATTTAATTCGAACAAGACGTACGTGGACTTGTCACCCTTGGAACCGCTCGTCTTGACTATCGGTAAGAGACTTTTGTTTTCTCCCGAATGTTTACCGTATTACTTAGTGGTTCGGTGAGTAGCTGTTCGGCATGGAGGAAGGAGAACCCGGATCGCTTTATGCATTATTCGCGCAGTTTTATGCACTAAAAGAAGATGTTGATAAACTTCAAGAACTAAAGGAATCGACAGGTATTACCGAGGAACAGGAAAAATGTCTTTGCTCTATGCGAGCCGAATTGGAAGCGAAACATTATATGATATATCGCAAAGATGGTGTAGAAGTTCTAAATCAGGCATTTTCTAATACTAACAATAGGCAAAATTCACAAAAATTAGACAACGGTTGGCAGGATGCACCCGTTTCAAAACGCGGTAGGAAACGTAGCAGTTCGAACGAGGAAACGTACCCTCCGCTAAAATCTGCAAATCAATTCAATTCCTTACAAGAGGTAAATTTAGATGGCAACAGAATGGAAAGAGGACAATATCCTGGAAGAAGATAAGGTTACCCCTAACCCAAATCCCTTCATTCAACCCAGACAGTATGCTGGGAAAATTCCCCCGCTAGTTATCACTAAGACCATTAACTGGAAGGATTTTAGGAAAGAATTAAAAGATAACTTAAAAATTGAAAAATTTGAATGCAAAAAAAGAAGGCGAAAATATGGTTCTTAAACTAAGCTCCGCCGACGATTATAAAAAGGTGCAGGATAATCAAAATCGTAAAAACACCTTATATTAGCGTAGGTTAATGAACACTCAATCGATTTCGAGGGCAGCTAAGGTCCTCCTCATCAGGAGAAGAAATACATAGAAAAAGAAAAGGAATCACAGAAACACGTGGTGCTTATCAGCACTGCACGTGGTTCTAATAGATTTTTAATCAGAGTTGCACTGGCCGCCTACTTTTACTGAGCCAGGCTGTCTGATCAAGCATAAAGAAATATTAGCGAAGTTAAATAGGGAGCGAGGGGCAAATGCACATTACGCTCAAAATCTGAACTTCAAATAATGGAAAGCAACCACTGAACGGATTTTTATACCCTCTGGTAGTACCAAGTGTGCGAGGAGGTATCGCCATCTATCGGCAAAAATAATTGAATTAAGACACTAGAATTTTAAAGGCATTAGGAAGGACTGGATTGGACTTCAAATCATTAACTAAACTTTCTAAATCTTTGTGAATGTGAAAAGCCTCAAGAAAATCCAATTCGCCTATGGGAAGAAGCCTTTTTTGGATGATTTTTTGCAGACCCAAATCAAAATTATGGTTAAAATCCAGCTATGATACGCTATTGAAGACTTGTTAATTTCGCCTTTTTTGACATAAGATTCATGTTCCTTGATACGAAACTTCACGCTCTTTTTGTTTGGCCAATATATCTTAAACCACACTGACAGGATATACTATAAATTCCCCAAGAATTCAAGACAGAAACGCAATCTTTTAGAATCGAAGGGTGAATTTTATTAATAGGGAGAAACCGACTTGAAAATTGAATTTCTG